CTAGTAGTAGTACTAGTACTACTACTAGTACTAGTACTAGTAGTAGTACTAGTACTCGTACTCGTACTCGTACTCGTACTAGTACTAGTACTAGTACTAGTACTAGTACTAGTACTAGTAGTAGTCGTCGTCGTCGTCGTCGTCGTAGTTTTGCTTGGTGGGAGTGCGGATAGAGGTAGGGGGAGGGGGAGGGATAGCAGCATCAGGAGCAGCAGCAATACCAATAGCAGCAGCAGGAGCAGGAGCAGCAGCAGGAGCAGCAGCAGGAGCGGGAGCAGGAGCAGGAGCAGCAGCAGGAGCAGGAGCAGCAGCAGCAGTTGTAACAGTGGCAGCAGAAGCCGAAGGCGCAGCGATGATCATATTCAGAATCATGACGTTCATCATCTTCATCCCAATTCAATAGTAGGTCGAGTTGCAAGGCATCTGTACCAGCTTATGCTGGTCCTCCGAATATCCAGAAGCAGGAATGTTTAGAGTCCCGGTCGGATGCGGGATTTCCTCCGCCGAAATGTCTCCTCCGAACCTTCGGAGACCTCAGATCCGTCCCATTCATCCCAAGGCTCCTTGAGCTTGCCTGGGCCCCCCCGCCCGGAGAAAACACAAACCTCCAAAACTGCTGATACATGGGACCTTCCGTGCGTGCGGAAATGTGAGTCTACGTCCGAAACCAAGAAACTTGGGGCTGACCGAAGCATCCTGGTGACGAAGGGACAGGCCGGAAGACCCGATGTGGCTTTCGAATCGAAGGGGCGACGCATCTGTGCCCTGGGACGAGCCCACAGAACTGTTGCAAGTGCCGTGGTTCCATAGACTAGGCCCTAGGGGCCCTAGGTAAGGTTGAAAGCCCCTTTTTTTGAGGGGTTCTCCCAGGGCTGCAGGCCCAGTGGGCTCCGAGGCCCACCACTGAGGCCCGTTTGAGGTCGCAGCCAGACCTAAGATCTTTTTCTGGATCTCTGAATACCCAAAGGGTGCGACCCCGTCGTAGGTTCACGTGAGACATGGCACTGCTAGAGTCTTTTGTGCCATGTCCTCCCGCTCGATCCTCTTCTCAAAACTCGGGGCCTTCCGGCTTGAGGGAGCCTGAAAGGGCCGGAGTGCGCCGCTCCGAGCTGCCGAGCGGCAAAGCAACTGCAGCCCTTTGGGCGGGCCCACTGGCCCTCACAGGCTTGCAGGCCAAAGGAGGCCGGCACAAAGCCCCTGTCCATAGGCACTTTCTGCACCGGCTGTGGTGGGACATGCTGCCTGCATGCAAGATTCTGGCGAGCTGTTGGCAATGCAAGTGTTGCTAGAAACTGACATCAGTCTCAAGTGTTGGAGGATCAAGGATATGGTGAGTTGGGTTTCTGCTCACAGTCTGAAGCCATTGAGATTGGAAGAGCAGCCTTCGTTCAAAGCGACTAAGACTACTTCATTACCCGGCGATGTGCACCATCAACCCTCAGATAGGTCCACTAGGACCTGACATAAATAATCTCAACACCATCAGTAATCTCTGTAAACTTGCACAACAGACTCCCAGGATCTGAATTTAGGAGTCGCTGCTTGGGGCATCATACGCTGCACATAGCTGCTCTGTACACCTTCCTCGAATCAAAGCCGCATACCTCGAAAGAATCGCCAAGCGCCTCCAAAGCAGCAGCGAGCTCCTTTCCAAGCCGCGCCCCGTCACGAATTTTGGACCGCACGGGCTCTGGCGATATTTGGTCCCTCGACGTAACTATGGGGGGGCGAAGGGGGTTGCAAGGATCACTGAAGAGGTTTACATAGGTGAGTCCAAGATGGGGTAATTAAGGGAGAGACCCGGCTACTACGGCCCGGCCACAAGGCAGAGCCAACATAGGGGAAACAAAACTTCTCGAACAGGCAGCGCAGGTGAGCTCTGCCAGCCAGCACAGGACAAGCTAAGACGAAGACTGTCCTGCCGCTCTTGGAGAGGGTACTGGGCATGCAGACCACTACCAGTAGTGAGCTGCCTGTGCCATGCTGGCGGATTCTGCATGCAAAGCCCGGATGTGTACAGACTATCAAGGACTGGTAAGCCCAGGCAGTGCAGATTCAGACAACTGCCTTTCTTTCTCAGCTCAGGCGGGCCCTCTGGAGTGCATGGCTTTGGTCTCCACATCCTGGGAACCCAATTTCTGGCAGCTCTGGGACCAAAACCATGCGCTGCCAGGCCGCCGGCTGAGATCATCTGGCCGCCCACCGACGAATCAACTAGCGAGGATGATGCTGATGGTGACGATGAGCAGGAGGAGGAGGAGGAGGAGGAGGAAGAGGATCCGTGATAACAACGGACAGAACAACGATGGGACGAAAGCTGCAGACCCTGTACGACAGGGCATGTCTCGGCATCACATCTGCACCCAAATCCCGTAAAGCTTTGGAGGTTCTCACTAGACCCGGAATAGCAGAAACAAGAAGATCGCCAAGACTCAGCCATATGTTAGCTTCATGGCATGCTGGGGCCTTCGCACTCGGGAAAGGCTCAGGGCACTCTGATCTTCCCTTGAGCGGCCAGAGAGGGCGACGAATTGAGCCACTGACCCGTGGAAGGGCGGGTCCCTGAGCTTCGAGGGTTTAGGCTTTAGGCTCCTCGGTGCTCAAAGGACTGTTGGTACTAGTCCCTGTCTCCAAGTTGTGGTAATGCTCAAGGTCCCGCCCTTCGCGGGCTCCCCGTTTGACCGACCTGGCTGCTACGCCATCTGGGTCGGAAGGGGCACGGGCGGTGAGGACGCTACTGGAACTGAGCCGCACTTAGGACTTGGAAAGAGGTTCTATAGTCGGGGGCATTGGTGCAGACCGAAGTTGTTGCAGTATTCACAAGGATGTTCGTCTTCGGAAGAATGATGCTTTGCGTGGACTCTGGACATCAGGACGCATCCTGAAAGATGCAGCCTGTACTGATCTATGAGAATGTTCTCCGAGCATTTGGGACCTTCAGGTTTAGCGCCGCGAGCAGTTCTACTACTACCACCGCATGGCCCCTGCCACTGCCACTACGATCACTACCAGTACCAAAATACCGCCCCACTACCACCCCTGCCTCCACCACCGCCACGACTACGACGTCGGCGACGACTACGACGACGACCACGACGGCTGCTGCTACTGCCGCCACTGCTGCTACTACTACTACTAC